GTCTCCCCTGCTAGAGCCCTAAGGGGGAACCCTTCGATTCTTGAATCACAAAACTGGCTGTTCCTGACTCAGATGCTGAGATGGTGTGACAAACAGATGTACTTCACTGCAGCCATTAAAAATCTCCTAATATCGATAATGAGCCCATGAAAGGACTTTGAGCCATCAACTTTCGAGTGAAAAAGAAGCCTGATAGAAAAAGTTGAGGAATGTTTTCAAGCATGAATATAGTTGGAATTCACTTGGTAGATTGTTAGAAACAAAAACAAAACTATGAGGTAAGTAAACTTTGTCCTTGGCCTTTTCCTATCCATCTATCAAATCGTCACTGAATTAACTTTCTTATCCCAAACCTCTGATCATGTCACTCCTGTGTGCACTAGCCTCCAAAGTTAACACACAGTATTGTTTATGGTGCTGATGGAACTGTAAACTGGTACAGTCTCCAAGGAGAGCATTTTGGCAATGTCTACCAAAGTTAAGAATACACATATCTTTGATCTAAGACTTCATTCTACAGCTGTACTTGAATTTGTATGAAATGAAGCATGTATAAGATTATGTGTTACAATATTATTAAATAACAGATTATACTTCTGCTCCTGGATACAATGTAGGAGGTCAGGGCAAGTCAAAGCTCTCGTGGTAACAACTAAAAACAAATGGATACATTGAAAGAACATGTTAAAGACATCAAAGAGCTGTGGAGAAATAGATGAACTAAAAGTCCATGGGGAAAAGCCCTTCTTAGGCCTGGGACAAGGGCAAAGCAGAGGTGCACGGACTCTTGCTAAAGTTATAAATCCAGCCCTCAACTCAGTCTGTGATTGAATTGAGGTAGTTAGCCCCTGACCCTATCTGCCTAATGAAGAAAAATAGGATCCCTCTCTGGTGGAAGATATCATGAGAAATATCAATAGTTTTTTATACACAATGCCAGCATATATTCAAAAAGCATTATATATCCAAAGAACCAGCAATGGTTATCAATAACCAAAAAAATAAAATAAACACAAACCCACAGAGAATTGAGATAACACAGTTATAATAAAAGCACAATACAATAAGTATGCCTAATATGTTAAAGAAAACAGAAGAAACGATAAAGGATTTAAACAGAGAACTGGAATCTGTAAAATAAATGGATATTTTAAAACTGAAAAATATAATTTCTAGATTTAAGAATCATTGGGTTGGTTTAAGAGCATACTGGACATGGAAGACAGAATTAGTGAATTCAAAAGCAGATCAAAGTAACTGTTTTGAATTGAACCACAGAAAAAAATTAAACTGGAAAGAAAGAGTATGTACAAATATGAGATATACTCAAATAGTATAATATACATACAATGGAGTCCCAAAAGGAGAGTCAGGAGAGAGAATGGAGCAGAAGCATATTAAAAACATATGACTGAGAAATTTCCTGTAATGATAGAAGACATAAACCCATCAACTCAAGAAGCTCAGCATTCCCCAAACATGATTAAAAAGAACAACAACAACAACAATTAAAAAAAAAACCATACCTGGACACTGTTTAGAAATTGTTTAGAAAACAAAGACAATGAGAAATTCTTAAAAGCAGCTGGAGGAAAAAATGTCCACTGTCTTAAGGAGAGCTACAATAAGACTGACAGCTAACTTTTCAAAAGCAACTGTATGTGGCAGCCAGCAAAGTGTACCCCTCAGATCTTTTGTCAAGAGATCTTGCTGCAGGGAGCATATCTGATTGACAGCTGCTGCACTTTTGGATCCACTGAAACCTTCATGCCAAATCGCACTTGCTTAGATGCTTCTAGTCAATGAATAAGCACAATGGATGTACTAGATCCAGGCCATTTAGATAGATGCAGGATTTCTCTAACAAGTAACTTCAGCCCAGGAGATCTCCGTTGGCCTGGCCAAACATTTTTCAGAACTGTTCTACAGTCTAAGGCTCTTCCAACTCGATCCTTTCTTTCTCTCTTTTTTAACAAGTACGAGACCTTCCTGGTTCTCTGAAGGTTCTCCCTACCTATACCTTTTCTTCTACTTTTAGCTTTCACAGGCATTCTCAACACACACACTCCCAATAAATCTCTTTTAGTCCCATCTTAGTGATTTCTTTTTGTAGAACTCAAACTGACACTATGGAAGTCAGATAACACCATAATGACATATTTAAAGGGGTGAAATTTTACTTTGGGTGGTGAACACACAATGCAATATACAGATGATGTATTATGAACTGTATACTTGAAACCTATGTAATTTTATTAACCAGTGTCAACCCAATAAATTTAATTAAAAACCTGCCAACTTAGAATTATATACCAGTGAAAACATTTCCATTAAACAAAAACAAAGAGAATTTGCTATCACTAGCATGGGAGTATGTACTAAAGGGAATCCTTTAGGCAGAAGGGAAATTTTCCCAAGTAGAAACACACACAAAAAATGAGAGGAAATGAAAAGTACTGAAAAGAGAATACACATATGAATAAATATAAAATACTATTTAAAACAGGAATTATAATATATTTTGGAGTTTAGAACACATAACATAGTATAGTTAGTATATAGTATATACTATAGTATAATATAGTATAGCATAAGATAAATATAGTATAATATAGTATAAAATAAACGACAACAATAACACAAAAGGTAGGGCATGGATAAGTGAAGTCAAGTTGTAAGACTGTTACATTCTTCAGGAAGTGTACTGGTCAGGTAGATTGTAACATTTAAGAATACATATTGAAATCTCTAGGGCAATGGTTCAAATGGGAGCAATTTTGCCTATTGAGAGATATTTAGCAAATAAATAAGTAAATAATGTCACACAGAGAGTTTGAGAGAGTGAGGGAAAATTGACAATATTTGGAGACATTCTTGGTTTTCACAACTATGAAGGAGGTGTCAAAATCATCGTCAGTTGAGACATACTAACTAAAAGACTGGGATTGTCAGAATGGATAAAAAAAACATGACCCAGCTGTATGCTGTCTCTAGGAAACTTACTTCAAACGTAATGATATAAGTAAGTTAGAAGTAAAGAATAGAAAAAGAGTTTCTATGCAAACCTTAATCAAAAGAAAGCCGAGTGACTGTTATTAATATCAGACAATGTAGATCACAGAGCGAAATAATTTGTTAAGGATGAAGAATGCCATTACGTAATGATAAAAAGATCATTTCACCAAAAAACATAACAACACTAAATATGTTTTTACTTTTAACAGAGATTCAAAATGCATGAAGCAAAACTGATGGAACTAAAAATAGGAATAGGAAAATCCACAATTATAAGTTAGGGACTTCAATTTACCTCTCAGTAATCAATAGAACAGAAAATCAGTAAGGATGTAAATGAACTAAATAACATCATCAACCAATCGAATTTCATTGAAATTTTTAGAACATTTTACCAATGGCAGAATATACATTATTTTTAAGTGCATGTGGCACACTCACCAAGATAGACCATATCTTCAGTCATAAAGCAAACCTTAACACATTTAAAAGAACTGAAATCATACAAAGTATGTTCTCTGACTGTAGTGAAATTAAAATAGAAATAATAAGACAAAGATAACATGAGGTCTCCAAACTCGTGGAAATTAAACAACACCCCTCTAAATAAATTTATACATCAAAGATGTCTCAAGGAAAATTTAAAAATATTTTAAACTGAATGAAAATGAAAATATATCAAAGTGTGATAACTTAAAGCAGTGCTTAAAGGACATTTACAGCATTAAATGCTTTACAAAGTACTTTTAAAAAACTAGAAAAAGAAGAGGAAAACAGACCCAAAGCAAGCAGAAGGAAGGAAATCATGAAGATAAAAGCAGAAGTTGATAAAATTGCAAACAGGAAAATAGAGAAAGTCAAAACAACCCAAATCTTATTCTGCAAAAATATCAATAAAATACAAAATTAACATATAGCACAATTGATAAAAAAGAAAAAAGGCAAATTACTGATATCAAAAATAGAAGAGAAAATGTCACTATAGACCCTGTAGACAGTAAAAAGATAAAGGGATACTGTGATCAAGTCTACACCCCAAATACTGACAACTTAGATGAAATGGAGCAATTCTTCAAAAACCACAAACACCAAAATTCAACAGACAATGTGAATAGTCCAAAACCATTAAAGAAATTGAATTCATAGTTTAAGATTTTCTAAAAAAAAAAAAAAAAAAAGATCCAGCATTTCTTCTGGTTTGTAGTGGAAAGATTTCAGGTTATCTTAGCTCACTGTATCGTCAGCCTTGAAACTCTTCAGTTTCTTTTTTAAGCCACTTTGAGTTGAGATTTTTGTGACTTAAAGACAGACTGCTAACACATCATAGTTTTCTGAGGTTCAAAATAATATCATAGTTGTTGATACTTAGATGACCCAGAGTAGGAATTATAGAAAGACTGGCATAGTAGCAGTGGTGGTGTCGTGGTGGTAGTAGTAGAGAAATAGCGGTAATAGTAACTATGACTAGCAGTTACTAAGCACATACCACAGCACTCTGCAAAAACATTTGCATATGGAATATGAAAGCACAGTTTTATGGTTGAGGAAACAGAAGTACAGACATTAAGTAGGAGAGTGAAATCACAGTGGCATGGCGCATTGGGTGGAATTTTCTGAAGAACAGTGTTCTCCTCAGCCTACTGTCAGCTGTGATCCTCCTGTTCTGGGATAGAATGGGACTAAAAGACTTGCCTTTTCCCTCCACAAAAGGATCCCTGCCAGACAGGGGGCCAGCTTTGTGCTTCTTCAGCCAGGACCTGCCTTTCTCACCAATTAAACCACAGATCCGTCATCTGTACCTGCTGAAGGTCCCCAGTGCCCTCTGAAACACACACATGCGTGCACACGTGCACACACAACCACAAGCAATGAATGGATACAGAATTCTCAAGAAAGCTCCCAGCTTACCAGGAGGAACATGTCAATGAGATGGCAAGTCTTTGGGCTGAAAAAAAATGATTTTCAAAAAGAATATACAGATTTACCTTGTTCGCTTATTGAAGTAAGACCCTGAAAGGGCTGCTATGCAGTGGTTAACAGTATGCCCATAAATTCTTGCTAATTTCAAGTAACTACTTTCCATTAATCTCCTGAAAATTGGAAGAAAAAAAAATTACATGCAAGCGAACCGAAAAAACAAACAGATGAACACCACTTATTTCTACACTTTGTCAATTCTAAATGAGGCAGTGGTCCAAGAAACCACATTCTTTCACTTGTAAATCAGCTGCCAGCATGAATGTGATTCTTCAGCTATGAGAAAATGTCTTTTGAAGGGTACAGGTTGGTTAATATTGGAAATTCTTATGTACTTTGGGAGATAACAATATTTGCCCTGATAAGAACCAGTACTTTTTCCTTCCTTTTTATCTGGACTTGTCAAGAATCAGTCATGTCATCTGCATTTTTCCTTTTTCTCCCTCTTGCCTGTGCCCTCTTTGGAACTCATGCCAATAACAGGTTTTCCTGAAATGGTGGTGGATTTAATCCAGTATTGATGTCCCCTATGTTAAATAAAATCTTGAGACTTAGGAAAAGTTCTCATTTAGGAATAATAAATAAAAATTACAATGCTGTGAAGCAGCTACAAAGCAAGAATACACTAACTGTGCCAATCCAAGTGTTCAGCTTTATGACTTTGAAATCTTTTACTGTAAGTGAATTTACTGACATTAAGGTTTGGACTTTAAATGAAAAGAGGATGGACGGATAGAAAGAAAGAAGAGAAGGAAGAAGAGAGGGATGAAAGAAATGAGGGAGGGAGAAATGAAAGAGAGGAAGGAAGGAAAGAAAAAGAAATTCAAGTGGGAAGTCAGGTACTTGAATTGCAAAAAGAAAATATAGCCAACTTTGGAGCTACCTATTGGTAATTGTTTAGAGAAAATCACTGACAAATGAAAATTTACTGTCAGTAAAAAGGTCCTATTCTGTGAATTCAGTGAGCTTTATGCCTGGGACATAGATGGTTCTCAGTAAATATCTGGTAAATAAATATATGAACAGGTAAATGTATAAATTTCTTTTTGTATGTTAGTAAAACTAAAGCCTACATATGTTTAGTGAGTTGTCCAAAATCATACAGAAAGTCTTAGATGCCTCAAGTATATCAAAAGGAAAATGTAAGAAGGATCACCAGTTGGGACCTGAGAGATCTGGATTCCAGTTTGGGGTTAGTTTTTGAATTTTACCTTTTGTATTTCTAGATTGCAGAAGGCAGGGACTCATCTATATTGTTTTCTGGTGTACCTTCAATGCCTAGCTCAGAATGTAGTACATACAATATACCCAATATATATTTAAATACTTACCATCTCCTCATCTGTAAAATTTACTTTCCATATATAAAAAACAAGAGGGTTGGCACCAAGGCTTTCTGAGTGCTCCTTCCTATTCTATGTCACTGTGTGAGAGGATATCTGCCCCAGTCCTCATTTCATCCCCCACTTTCCAACTTTCACTGTTCAAGTTGTACGGGAAGGCAGATACAGGTGGGTGAGGTCACAAAATCTTTTCTCCAATGTTATACCATCATCCTTCTGAGCAATTATTACCACAAGAAGAACCACAAAAATGCAGTCTTAATTGAAAACAGTGAATCAATCAATTACTTCATTGTCTATTTTGTAAAATGAGTTCCAGAATCACTAGACCTCCCAATCACCCAACCTCAGCAGCCAAAGATTCCCAAACTTTCACATTAGGTGGTTCCAGCCACTCTTCCCTAGAGGAGAAGTCAAGTGACACTCTTCCCTAGAGGGAAAGTCAAGTGACATTTTTTTCTCCAGTGCTCTTCTGAGCACTCCCAGAAGACATGACTTCTGGGAGTGCTCAGAAGAGCACTGGAGAAAAAAAAACAGCCTGGAGAAAAACAGCAGCAACAATGCTCCATGTAGTATAGGATGATGTCCTTGAAAGAGACTAATTCTCCCACACTCCCAGTGTGAACTCTTGCCCCTCCTTTCATGACACCCCCACAGTGAGAAAAACAGTAGCAAACACTGAAGCACAGCAAGAGAATGCCATAGAATTGGCGGCATAGCTACCCGTTTGTCCAGAGTGAGAGGAAACCCACTTACCCAGAAGACTCATGTTTCCCCTCTTTTGAGGACTCCTTTCATGAAGGGGGACAGCTTCAGCAGTGGCTCACTCTGCATGATTACAAGATAATATATAGTATCCTGAAGAGGGCCCCAGTTAGGGAGCCAAGAACTCCAATTTGATCTCTGACATACTGCGTGACTTTGGAAAAGTCACCTTCCTTTCTGAACTTCAGATTCCTCAATTTTTAAAACTTATTTGCCCTTTTAAGTTGCTAAGAGATTCCTTTTTTAAAAAAAAAATACTTTTCTTATTCTAAAAATAATACCTAATAGTGTAGAAACATTTAAAAATACAGTAAATTAAAAGAAAAAGTAGCAATCATTCATAATCCTATCACCCAATGATAATCATTGTTAACATTTTTGTGGGGTTTTTTGGTGAGATTTCTTGAGGATTTAACATTATTGAATGTTTATCTCCCAGTGAGGGTTGCCCCTTTAATGACTTTCTGAGATTTGTACTTGTGCCAATATGCTGTCCATACGCTAGAAAGTTGGGGAATCTCCTCTAGTAAATAACTCCCTGTAGACTGTAACAAAGCCTTTTGAATGCCTTTGGTGATAAGTCATCTGAGGCTGGTTATGAATAGTATAAAAGTCATTTGAAGATAAGTTGCATGATTAGAAGAATGACCAAGCTGGGTACCTCCATTTGGTGTTTCTTTATCATCATCATCATCATCATCATCATCATCATCATCATCACTATAAACTTTGAAGACTATTTTTTATCTTTCTTTGGAGTTTCCCAAGTTTTGATAATTAAATATATCAAAGGAGAGGGATAAATTTCATTATTTTAGAGCAATATTTCCAAAATTGTGTTCTACAGCACTGAAGATTCTAGGATGTTTCTCTGGGGAGGAAAAAAAGACTTCTGTGGTCAAAGGAGTTTGGGAAAAGCTACACACTTGATCTATTCCCTTAAAAACTCTCAGTGCCCATTTAATATATTAAAGGCTCTGAAATTGCTCTGTAAAGAAAGATCTTTAATTTTAAGTAACTGTGTTTCCTAAACTTATTTGAGTTTAAGACACTTACTTCAGAAGGCCACATCAGTTTGCTCATCAGTCGGTCATGACAGAAAGTATAGTTTGGTGGACGATCATGCAGACTTCTATGGGCACACAGCTTAACCTTGCTGAACAAAAAAAAAAAGATAACGATTAAAACTATACCTACATCACAGGACTACTCTAAAAATTAAATGAAATAAAATGCGTAAAGAGCTAGACCAGTGACTAGCACACAGCAAGTATTCAAATTAATGGGAGCACTTATTATTTATTAGTTGGAATAGATGAGATGATGAGGAGAGGATGGATAAATTTTGTGGAGGAAGGAAAGGTGAATAAGGGCAGTGATTCCTCTTAACTGAGATAGCAAGTCATTGCCTAAACACAGGACATCTATTTTTGACATTAAGGCAATCTAGATTCCAGAGAAGGCCTCTCAGTACAGAACATCTAAAAATGATTCTAAAATATAAAATCCATATTTTTAAATACATGACTGAACTAGTGGGAAAAAGAGGAAATCAACAAAGCAGAAATCCAAAGAAGAAAGCAAGCACTGACACCACCCTTCGCTAGGGTCATTTACAAGTTTCTAGGACCCAACGATTTGAGTTTACTGGCCTGTGATCAAGTGGCAAAAGACAAATCCTGAGACCACTGCCATGTGGGAAGTTGTATTACTTCCCACTGTGTAAATTCAGCAGCCCCTAAAAGATAATGAAGTCAGTAGATGAAGTAGAAAAAGAAAACCCATAAAGGAATGGGTGGGAGAAACAATTGACAGTCGCAGCCCTACTCTAGATGGAGCAGAATAAAAGAAAACTTGATAATTCCTAACTTACCACGAACCTACCCTCACACAAGCTTGGAGCTAGAACTCATACCATCTAAGCAGCCTCAGGATGATGGCACCATAAAACACCTGACAAAAGCCAATCTTTTCTTGGTGAACATGCTTAAAGACAGGCCTCAAAGGAGGAATTTGAGTGCAGAATTTAAAAAGTCTCTGAGTATATTTAGAAACAAATCATCATCATCGTGTAATATATAAACTGCAGAATCAGCCCCAGACATACAACAGAGGCTAGAATTAGCAGATATTAAATATGAAATAAATTTAAAGTATTTAAAGTAGCAACATTGATAAGCCAAAGTGAGAAAAGCCCAAATAAAATGTCTTAAAATATTTAATAATTAAAATGTGAAGGTTTAAACATTGGTTTAGACACAGATAAAGGGAAAATTAGTAACCTAGAAAATAGATCTGAAAAAATTACATAAAATGAAGCACTTGATTTGAAGGAGAGACCAGCAAATCTACCACCATAGTGAGAAATTTTCTTGTATCTTTCCTAGCAATTGATAAATGAAGCAAACAAACAAAATTGGTAAAACTATGAAAGTTTTCACTACATAATCCACCCATTTGGATTTTTGATACCTGGGAGGAATGGCATCATCAGCTGCCATTTACTCGGCATTTAGCGTGAATTATTTTACCTGGTTCTTCTCCTGTGATAGCTAGCTTAAAATGATTCTAAGGGAAGGAGATCTTAAACCTGTCTCAAGCCTCACTTCCTTCAAGAAGACTTTCTATAAAACTCTCTTGCAACTGGACTTCAATAAGGTTTATGTTTATGTGCCTTTTGGTTCTTAATGTTTGCATTTTGCATAATTCCAGTTGTTATTTTTTTTTATCTGACTGCCAATGTAATACATGCACATTCTTAAAAATTTGCAAAATAAGGATAAGGTCCCCAAGTTCCACACCCCAAAATGAAGGAACATGTTTGTGGAACATTATTTATAGTGTTAGTAGCTATATAAATGTCTAACAAATTGAATAATGGTTTGAAAAGTTGGGGTGTTGAAAGACAGGTAAAGTTCTTTCTTCTTGGTTTCAGCCCAAAGGTGAGCATTTTTTTTGAAAAGGTTAATAACAGTACTGCTATCAATAGTATATGTAATACCATATGAAAAAAAGACAACAAAACAGCAAAGACAGAAGCTATTTCATAGACTATCCAGCAATCTGGTTTTATTGAATCTGGATGATTAATGGAAAATATGATTGTATAATTATTGGGGGAGGGCATTGAAAGCCAGGCTGAGGAGTTTGCACTTAATTTTATAAATGGTGAGGAACCAGTAACATAATATGAGTTGCACTTCGGGAATATCAAGCTTGGGTTATTACCAATTTCACAGACAGACTTGGTAGTTTCCACTTTATCTGAATAAAGACAACGGTGTCTGTGGCCACAGCACCTGGGCATCAGGACTTCACCTTCAGGAATCTCCCTGTGGCCTCAACTCTGAGTATGATTTGCCACCAAAGCAGGCAGCGTATATTTTCCTGAAGCTATGCAAAATCTTCTTTTTCCTTTCTTATGTTGCTATCTTTTGGTTCACAGAGTCACTAAACATCAACAGTCTTTGAAAAGATCCCAAACCAACTCATTCCAATGAGTATAAGAGTTATCTAGGAATTAAAGGGATATTATATACTAAGGCTCTTTGATATAAGCCTGCTTCCATGTCACAGCCTGTAATATCTCTGTCCAAGTTTTGAGGGTAACCAGGTCACTAACAATAGCTTTTCACATTTCTGATTATCTTATGTAAGAGGCAACATGTTTTTTTAAGTTTGTTGACACATGAAGCAAATAAGCTGTTGGAGAAGTCTGTTGCAAAACTGGAAACAAAATGTATCTCAAATAGTTTACAACTCAGGGTTTGGGAGGTGGCCCAAAAATTCCTGCTTCCTGTGGAAAGCACATTCAGCTCAGTGGGATAAGTTTGTCTGGTTGTGATATGTAAATGATCTCCATTGTGTATTTACGCTTGAAATTTTCACTGATTACTGTTATTTCAGACCACATACGCCCACACAACTATGGTTACTTGGAATCCTTAACTGGAATCCATCAGGAGTAATTGGATTGGTATGCCATCTTTTGTTGATAATTGGAAACTTTTGGATGCAACACAAGAAGTTAACAGATTCCCTGAATTTAACAATGTTCGAGGAGTTATAGCAGTAATAATTTTCTGTACATTCCTAGCTGGAACCCAAGGAGTTTGTGACTACTGCACAAGTCTAGCCCTAATGGTCTCCAGAATATCATTTCATAAACAGAAACAAGATCCGTGCTTAATAAATTATTCATAGACCTAGTCAGGACCCCATATTGCACAAGATCTATTCAAAAGGCCTTTCTTTATTGAACTACAGTCAGGCTGCAGGGCAAAGATAAAGTTTTCCATTGCAAGGCAAATTAAACAACCCCTTGCAATTTATCATGTGTACTCATTTAAACTGGAGAACTCAAGGAGATGTTAAATATTTTCCACATCTGATTATAAAAGTGAGAGAAGAAACACAGATGGAGATGATTGTGCTTTGGATGAATTTAGAAAACCAAGGAGACTTTATTCTTTAATATACCACATTTTCCTCCCCTAAATACCTAGTAAAAGAGATATTTCTCTAGAGAAACTATCAGATCAAAACTAGTCAGTCAAGATGAGGAAGCAAATTTGAGTCACACATATAAAAACAAAACTCTAATTCAACAGTAAGGATAAATACGATAAAAGTTTATTGGGTAAGGATATACACAATCCTGAGTATACATCGGAGAAAGCAAATTTATGTCAAGAAAACATGGTATAGGAATTGTTCAAATAGTGTGAAGTAACAACATTATCAATATCAGATGAGGTCAATAAAAGCCAACATGGTAAAAATTTTAGTTGGGCTTTGAGTAGGGTCATTACTTAATGACAGAGAGGAATCATGATTAGTCTAGAGAAGTTGGGACTGAGATCCAAGAGACAAAACTGCCAGTCTTGCTTTGCACTAACAAGTTGTGTGATATTGGGTTACTCACTTATCCTTTCTGAACCTCAGTTTCCCTCTCAATAAAATGGGGAGGCCAGGGTATATATCTTTAATCTCCCTATCCATGCTAAAACTTAACTTCTTGTCCTTTCCCTCCTTCCTCACATTTCTGTTCTTATGCCAGAAGAAAGAATGTTTTAAAGAAAACCAAGAGTTTATCATTAAAAGGATTTTATATGGATGGTTATCTGCAAACAAATGGCTTCATTCAGTCAGGCATTTTATTCATTCTTTCAATCGTTCGACAAAAATTGATTTCAATGCTGAATGACTACTATAAACCAGATACTGTACTATCCCATAAAAGCCTTCCATATAATGTATAAGAGTGAACAGGACAAATTATCTGCCTTCAAGGAGTTTATAGTTTGGTAGTAGAGACAGACACATAAATATATAATTTTAATAAAAGGTAGAGGTAAACTCGTCAAGGTTTGGGAGGATATCTCTTCATCTGAATTGGGAAGGAGACATCCGAACTAAAGAATGAGTAGGGCTTATCTATTCAAGGTAGAGAAGAAAGAAGGCCAAAGTGCAGAGTAGTAGAAGTAAAAAGATTAGAAACTGTTAAGAGTTGCTAGAATGTAAAGCACGAGGTAATGACATAAGAGGTAAGAACGGACTAGATAGTGAAAAGCCTGATGTGAAGTATCCCAGTATTTCAGATTCAATATAAAGTTTGAGAATCACCTGCGGTAGATGTTTTAAATCCATTATTTTTACTAAATTTCTACTACAATCCTATGAGTTATGGGAGTTGGGGTTCCAAGCGAGTTCTCATTTTCTAGAACTGATGAGAACAAGATAGATAGTATGTGCTGAATAAATATTGGGATAGATAGATGAATGATTATCTCAGGAATGGAGAATAAAACTAGGATTGAGTGCCAGAAATATGTTTCAAAATGAGGATTTAATCTCCATAATAAAGCAAAATATACAGGTTACAGACTAAAGTATATAATTAGATGTAATACATACTAGCAGTTGAAAAAACCTCCTCAAATCTGTTTCATCAATAAAAATGGAATAATAGTCTTTCAAAGGACTATGTAGGATCTAAGACAGTACCCAACTTGCAAGTTAATAGGTTAATTTGACAGACTTTCATGGATGCCAGTAGATGACACAAGATTCCTGGGTCAGAGACAAAGGACATCTTATGACATATAGCAGTAACGGTATCCAGAGGATCAGTATTTCTGCGCTGGCTCCCTGA